ATTACATGTTTCCACTTCCGCACTTCGCACTTCGATTGCAAGGAGTGGCCGTTCTGTACAATCATCTAATTCATCTTCAAGTATCATATATACCTCAAACTACTTGCTAAATTGGTTTCTGTTTGCTTTTAAATTATACAAACATGTTAAAATGCAGATTCTTATAGCAACAGAAAATTCAGGAAATCAAGCAACGAGAACGTATGACTGTACGCTTTGAAATATTTTTATTTTCTCGGGGTTCGCCGGTTCGGGCGTAGTTTTATTTCACGCATACGTTTCTGTTGTGGCTCTGATATTTATAATATGCTTATAATATGCCAATGAATTGTTCTGATATGGACATGGTATAAATTTGTTAAACAGATGTCTGGAAAGCGACTGTTTATAGGTCGTAGGATTAGCGCCTTGCCGGTCTTAAACGTGACACATTTGGACACAAGCCAAATACACATTGTGAATGTCCATTCTATTGATTCTAAAACTGTTTATAGACATATTGCTCTAGATTTTTTTTTTAAATGGCTATCATCGTTTATATTAAACACCAGGAAGACAAAATATAACGTACAAAATTGTTTGAAATCGAGAGTGCACAGCTGACATACGACAATTCATAACTGCAAGAATTTCCTTTTTTGTCTGCACGAGCACCTGTTTGTTGAAGCCAAAATATTGCACAGCATCTCCTATAAATTCTATCGCCATTTACCCTCTCCCCTTAAATGCAAAGGAATGACAGCCGAAAAGGTTTAGCAAAGTATTTTTTATTATATCTGGTATAAAGTGTCCTACGTTTTATCAGGGACATACATAATTCATAAACTGTATATGCACACGAAGTCTCACTTATATTAATGAGTTTTACTGTAGCAAACCTTTTAAAGTTTCCATTGATAGATAGGTTGTTTGCCTCCAGTATTGTTTGGTAAAACAGACTATTAAAACTTCTAAAATATCGATTCCAGTATACGATAAAGATTAATTAAAGTTGATTTAAATATTGATAACTCACAGCGGCATTAATCCATTATACAAGTCTAAAGAAGCTGGATTATTCTTCAATAAAGCCCTCAATGGACAATGCCAATGTCAATGAAAGGTCTAATATTATACATGTTGCAAATTACTGCATATACAAAATATGAAATAATTTATATAAAGTACAATACCAGTGTCTGGTGCATATATCGTCCTAGATATTCAAGTTGTACCGCACGCACGGAAACGCATGTACTCTTGGCGTTTGTGTGATAACAGATAGCTAGCTACACTTCGACATTATCTTTCTTGATCGTTGAGTTTCAGCAATGTAAATGAAATGAATTTTATAGCCAGTCCATAACGGGTTTTAATCCTGTGCTTTTACAGTCAGAATAGCAATATTGTTTACACATGTTGGCGATGTTTAGGAAATCAAAGACAAAGGATCCCGTTATAAAATAAATCTTTTGTTTTGAATATCGGACAGGATACACTTCAACTATAAAGAACCATATCGTTCGTTCAGTACCGTTTGATCGATCAGTCTGTCTAGAAGATATGTATGTTTCTACGGCGATACGTGCTAAACTTCGCAGGCCAGGCGCGTGTGGAGTGTTTTCCTTGCAAGTGAAATATGATCCAGCTTCTCGCTTGAAATGTAACGCAACACTTATTATTGATGACATTCAGTATAGCAGGGAGTCTTGTCATGATCGGTACGAATTTAGAACAGTTCCTTTCACAATCTCTTGCTGCAAATTACATTTTTATCACCCAAAATTATAACACATAAAGTTGCAATTTTCTAAACGCAACAAACAGACTACTCTACTACCCCTCCCTGAGATCAAATTCAATTTACCCCCAAAATCTGGGGGTTCACGTGACCAGCTCCGACCAGGGTCTTTGCTTCCCAAGAGCAAATAGCCTGGGAACGAGGTTGCAGCATATCTTCCCTATACCGCATAGCAATGTCCAATATATTGGCATCCAAAACAATCTGTGGAAACAGTGTTTTTGTTGTGATGCATTCTCACCTGGATCTTGTGCAGCACTTATTTTCTCCTTGTGTTGTTGGCATTGCAATACAATGCCCACACATACACCACTCTGGCACATTTTCATCATCAGGAGGGGGGTTTGGTGGCTCTAATCCATCCCCAGCAGGAATCTCTCCACTCACAATGTCGGTAAAGGCCGCTGGCTGTCTTCGTAGCAGCTATAGAGCCAATATCCGCAATTGCTTCACGCTTAAACCATCAACAAGATTCTACAACATAGGATAATTGTGTGAGGTAACATATAATATTGCAGTTAGGGTGTTCCTATTACTAGACCAAACTCTGATGAAGACTTGTGTATGTATAAATTAAATAGCACTGTAATGTAAGAGCAAATGCTTTACATGAAAATATTCCATAAGTGAAGTTGGTGGCATTTAAACCTAATTGTAAACAAGGCTGTTTTCCCCATGCATGTATGTTTTCAGTGTATCAGTTACCAAATAAAATTAATCAACTTAACAAAATGCATAGACACAGCCCTTGTGTGAACAATAGGGCATAGGTGGTAATATCTCATTGGATATTATCCAATAATCTGTAGGAGTGACAAACAGTATCCATGTGTTGTTATACTGTACAGTATGTAGCATTTTTGTGAGATGTTAAGGGGATTATTTTCAGAGGTTTACAGTATCTTACCACTAATTGTTCTTGATGATTGGCCTGACTTCTTGAGTATTTGGTTCAGATTGAAGTTGGTCATGTCCTCTTGTACTTTGTCTGGAACTACTAGCACCAGCTTTACCCCTGCTTCATCCTCATCCCCGTCCACTTTTCTTGGTTTGGTCACTTCCCCTACCACGTCCTCTTCTTCCAGCTCAGCTCCCCTGCTTGTCTCCTGCCATGTTACCTCCTGCCTCACTCCCTGCTGCATCCCCTGCCTCTTTATCTGTGGTGATCGCCTCTCCTGTTATGTCGCCTTCCTCATCAGAAGGGCCCTCTCTTTTCTCCTTGTAAAGAGAAGTCTTAGTACTATGTATAAATAGAAAAAATAGTGAGTCAGGAAAATGCTAACATTTATCCTATTAGCATTATGGGCAATAAAAATTATATAGAGAATAATACATGGTGTGCGGAAATACCTGATTTATTTGAGTGTTGAACATGATATCTCAAGAGTGAGCGCTGCGAACGAGTGAGATATCATGTTCAACACGAGAAATAAATCTGGTATTTCCAAGCATCCATGTACTTCTCTGTTTATTACATAAAAGAGATATTGAAATACGATCATTAAACTATAATTTATATACTGTTTTTAATACATTTGTGGACATTACTTGCTAGCGTTGTCGCTGTTGTGTTTTTTACATGTCTCGGAACAATGGGCCTATTTCACTATTTCTATAATTCTTATTTGCATTCTATTATCGAAGCAATTAAAATTGTAATGCTATAAAACACAATCGACACTTGACTCGGACTGATTTGGCAATGAGAAAATTGCAATTTGCATATCACATTTTGTATTTATTTTTTACAGTATATAGAGCTAATAGTCTGATTTCAGTTTCACAATATCATAAACAGCACAAAACAAATTATAAGCTTACCGTTCCACTATTTGATTCATCGCTATCACTTTCAAGTAAATGTGGCTGTTCAAACATCATCCAAAATATTCCTCGTGGCACTGGCACACACTCGAACAATATTTGTTCATGCTTTTACACAGGCAAAAGTTTCTTCTTCTTTCTCTTAGACAGCAAGTAACAACCACAGCATTTACAAGATGTGAAATTGTCTACGTTTGGTAACGTTGCTAGGTCTTCAATCTGACTAATTTGCAATTCTTCTAACGTGTTAAAGCTCGAGTCTAATGCATCAGCCACGATCGAAAATAAACACCGCTCCTTTATGCAAATGTAGGAAATACTTCACAGAATATATAATGACCTTTTGTTATACTTCATGTAATTCTATTATGTGGATCAGAACAAAAACATAAACACACCTCGCGTATGTACAGAAACGACTTACCCCCCCCCCCCCTTTAAGGGATAATGAATTTCAAAAGGTTTGACAATGCTTTAGTTGTTACATTGTAGACTTAATTTGTTTTTCATGTCAATTTCATGAACACTTAATGACTTCCTCATGTTGTTTGTGCCTCATGTTGTTTATGAATTATTATTATGATTATTAACTTTTTTTGCCCACAAAATATATACAAGTAGTAAAAAAAAATAATTACAGTAGTATAATGGGCTAGGGACCTTTGGAAATCCTGTTGGACTTTTATAGTAAGGCCCCTAGTTTTAGTATTCTAGTGATAAAAGACTATGAAAGAAGAAATTATATACAAGCAGAAACTATTTACAACAAATTGAAAGATGAAAAAAAACTAAGAAATAAAATAGTACATTACTATCATTAGTGTTCCTAAGGCTATTGCTAAGGTTTTTATAATTTATTTACATTAATTAGATAATAAGTAAAGGGATTTTGCTTTTCTCTTAAAAGAAAAATAAGTTTTAGTATTTTTAATTTCGTCATCAAGAAAATTCCATAAAGAAATTCCTTTGTTAAATACAGTGTATATACGGTAGTTTGTTCTTTTATAACTCACATGTAACTTGGTAGAATTTCGTGTATTATAGTTGTGTACATCGTTATTTTGTTTGAAGTAATCATTATAAAAGTCCGGCAAATTTTGACAATAGTAGCGACGATACATGAATAAACTACATAAATAATCATTGATTTGGTAGATGTTCAAGATTTTCAAATCCAAAAATAGTGGTTTTGAATGTTCCATATAGGATTTAAAACTAATTAGTCGAACAATTTTCTTTTGCACATTCAGTAACTTTTGAAGCCTGGTTGGGTACGTATTTCCCCAAACTAGATTTCCGTATGTGAGGTATGGATAGACTAAAGCATAATATACCAATGTCAAACTGTTTTTGTTAGTAAAATGTCTTAATTTTGCAATCAAACCCGCAGATTTTATTACATTTTTCTGAACTGAGCTAATGTGGTTCTTCCATGAAAATTCGTGGTCAATTAATACGCCCAAAAACTTTACATGAGATGCTTGTTTAATAATATTGTTATTTATTTTGAGAGTAATTTCTTGATTCAATGGTTTATTTCTTGATTTAAAAATGATAAATTTTGTTTTGGATGGGTTGATAGATAATTTATTGGCATTTAGCCATGCCACTATTTTATTCATTTCCTTTTGTATAATGTCAGCTAATGTTTTTAAACACGAATTTTAGACGGCCAGCCAGCCTCAAAAAAAGTGACTGTCGATGGCATTTTTTGTTACAAGCAGGCAACCTAAGAAGATTTGCCCCGTTGCCACGCGTAATTTTGGATAGAAAAGGAAAAAATGAAGATTTTTTGAGGGCGATCTTCGTCTTTGAAGTGCCGCTTTGTTAAAATATGGTATTTTGTATAGTTTATATATTTTGCCAAATATGGTTTGCCGGAAGCGAGGACTAACCAATCAGATGAAAGAAAATATCGCGTGATGTAATTAACATCGCTCACAATTATAAACAAAATAAAATATGGCGCGCCAAGAAGAACCTTTTGGCAAATAAGATAAAAGATCGACCCAGAGAGAGGTAAAACAGAGATATTCTGAGTTTTTATTACGTTTAAACAGTAATTACATGTCTATAGAAATATGTGACCATTGTGATTTCCCTTATTTGTTGATACAAGTCGGCTATTTTCCCAATTTCCATGTTGGCTTGTTCGTGCAAAAATGAGATTTTATCATTTTGTACGATGTAATATATACGCAATCGCTTTACAGCGTTTTTTAAGGCGACAACATTAATTTGTGTGTTGGTATTTGTTTCGAATCGAGGGTACGGCATCTTAAATCACAATTATTTGACTTATTACTGAACATTTTCAATACGATTTCAACTTTCGAGCCAATTGCTCTGTTAGTCTGTTTCTGCCAGCAGGCCCAGCAATGCCAGTATGCATGAGATATACTTTGCTCGAATATTTTAAAATATCTACCGTGTACTGACTACTGTTTTAACATAATATAAAAGTGGGACAGTATCTTTTTATCCTCCATTTGATACTATATTTTATAATAATGTGAATATCAAACGCTTGCTTGTCTCTATGCTTTGCTAGTGCATATTTGTGTTTGTCTCTATACTATGCTTTGATAGTGGAACTCTTTGTTTGAAGATACCAGTAAATCTCCCTTGATTATAAGTTAAGTTCTTTTATCTCTTGAATGTCTCCTTTTATTTAATTGTTTTGGGCCTTGGCTTGTGTAGGATATCATTCGATCAAGTAGGTATAAAACGTTCAATGTTTTTAATAACAATATTGGATCACAGACACAGATATGTGGGTTGACTCGAGGATTGACTTGAACACAATTTTCCCAAAGTTCTTTTATTATTTGAATGTTTCCATTTATTGCCACTGTTCATTACAATGTTCATGGTCCCTTTGGCTGGGCTTGTGACCACTTTGAATTTCTCTACCGAATATAATTTTATGCTGGTAGCTATAGTAAAATTTCTAATCGCATGTATTTCTCATGCTTGAGCTGAATATTATTTGAATCGAAAAAAATCACAATTATAAATTATTTTTTGTTTTGCCAATTTACATCAAAACTGAAAATGTACCCTCCGGAAGCCAATACAAACACATACATTATGCAATGCTGTAAAATAACAGTAGATCAGTCGAAAACAATTATCGATCATAGTATAAAATGGTATACCGCATGTCCTGATAATCCTAATCATGAAATTAGCAGAATTTTTTGTATCAACAAACTTAGAAAAGCCTTAACAAAGTTCTAATTTTTATTTTGTTTTAGCTATGGTAATCCTACAGGATTTTTGCATTCATTTGCATCGCATCCACATAGAGGTGTGCACTGTTGATTGTTCTTATAGCACTTACAATTGGCAGTTCTACATTTCTTTTTACATCCACAAGAAATCAAGGAAATACAGGACTGTGGAATGGAAGGTATTGTAGACCAGATAATTTGTAGCTTATCATCACATGATATCCACCCACCAGTATCAGTAGGGCTAGGGATTTCAGGTAAACCAACGTTCGCCTTCAACCATACTTTGGCCTGGTAATTACAACGAGCAACATGAAGGCGAAAAGCATCACTTGTAGGTGGCAATTTCTCTAAATCCTTGTTTCCTTTTTCAAAAAGATCTACTCTGCATTTGTTTAAACCGCCCAGTGGATCAGGGACACCATACAATCGGCAAATAAATTCTTCTGCATCCTCAACTGGCCCATCTCTCCCTATACAATCAAGTAGGTGTGCAAACTCTTCAAAGACCTTCCAGCATTTCCTTTTCCCAAAACTGGTAAATGATGATGTTGTATCGCATCCTGTAAGAGAATGAAACCCTAAAAGATTGTTAGTAATACTTTCTGGAAGTTGTTGGGCAATGTCATGAATAGGATAACATTTTCGCTGTCTGGCAGTACCAGCAACCATCCATACTTCAATGTCATACTTGTTTCTAAAAAAGTGAATTAGCATTAAAAATACATCAGTATCTCTACAGAAGACCAAAAGCCTATTGAAATCATTGCCAACAGCCTCAAGGGCATGATAAATAAGCCTTGTGTCGGCCTCCTCATGGTCACACATAACTGTGCTGATATCTCTTAATGTAGAGTAAGCTTTCCTTGGATCCTGAAAACCACCACCTGTAACTAATTCACAATTATTACAATGGTTAGTTATACTAGCATGATTAGCCACAAGATAATTACTTAAATATTTTGCCAGATCTGCTTTATTATCCCCTAGAGAAATAAAATTTGCCCATGTTTGAGGAAGTGGCAAATCTCCACGGCTAATTATTCTACGAATTGGCCGCTTGTTTGTACCACGTTTGGTTCTTGTGGTTGACTTTATAGATTTAGAAATGTATCGGTCAAAAACAACATCTATACGGTCAACATTTTCACCAACATTTATCAGCAGCAACTTGAAAAATATATGTGCATATTCTTCAAATGTTTTGCAGTTTTTTGGTTTCCCGAGAGACTGGATGTAAGCATGGCCATCAACTAATATGCAGGTTCTCTGTGTTGTGCCTGGTTCTGTTACATTGGGTAGAATTCTCTCATTCTTTGTGATGATCTTTGCTAGCTCTGCCTTGGTTGTTGAATTCATGTCACCATTTACTTTTGCCAGTGAAAGTGGGATACTAGATAGCTCATGTTGCAAAACCTCATTCAGATCAACCTTTCTCCCTGCCAAAGATGCTGTAAGTAGCTGTTGCAACAATCTTCTATCTGCCTTGATCGTCTTCTTCTCATTTTGTTTTCCTGCAAAGGTCATCTTATAGAGTGAAGCAAACGTTTTTGACTTTACTTTTGGCAGTGGATCAAAAAATGGAGTTTCTTTCTCTATAAACCATTTATTAACATTGCTTTGCACCATACTTACCCCTCTTGTTTGTGCAGAGAGCAGATCATTTTCAATCTCAGCAGTGGACACATCATTTGTAGCTAGGGACACAAGCTGTTTTGTCTCACTTCTCTCAGTGCTTTCATTCTCTTCTTCTTCTTCCATAATATCACCATCCAGTTCTTCTCCTTCCAGTCCAAAAACGTTGAATCTCTTGAAAACTTCCTCCAGTTTTGTCACTGAATCTTCGTCAAGCCAAATTCGAGATGGTTGTGCATCTTTTCTTGTAGAAATCAGTTGATCTTCATTTTCTATTTCCAACAGACATCTAGTAGAATGGGAAATATAAGATCTTTCAGCCCATGTAATGCAAAATTTGTCTCTAGCAGTGTCATTCCTGGTTATCCCAATAATGCCATTTGAAATCTTGCAGACTCTGTTTTGCCATTCAGTCGCCTGATCAATAGGGACTTGGTTAAATCTGCCTTTGCCACGCCGAACAACGAAGTTTCCATTCATAAACTCCCGATGAATGATTGGTTGAGATATTTCTAGATTTTTCATCTCCGCTAGATATATTGTTCCCCATCTGGCGTAATTGGTGTGATCATAAACTGTCATCCAAGGTAGCATATCAGCAAATGATTGTAGATGAAGATTCCAGTTGCCTTCTCGATTAGCCCTTATAAAATTCAGGAGTGTATCCACCATCTTCATGTAGGTTCGCCAGAGGACAAAATTTGGTGTATCTTGCTGGTTGTTATCCTATTCCTTCATTAACTCTAGTATAGCAGTATCATTTAATAACTCAACTAAAGAACTTACCTTTTCAACCTTACTATCCATGTCACCTTTACTAAATTCTTGAACAATCTCGCCAATTTTTATCCTCAGCTCTGGTGTCTTTAAGTGCGCTTGTTTACCCACCCACTTCACAAAATAATTCCAGTAAATACGGTTTAATGCTTCATATGCCAAAGTGTGCCCCTTGACTGCTCTATAGTAAGACTTACCTTCCATCATTTGATCTGTACTATTGCATGCAAATAGCCCAGATTCTACCCAGACGTCTACAAGACCAGCATTTTCCATATGCTGTCCAATAGCCTTCAGAAAATTAAATAGTATGTGCAAATGACCCATGATAAGAACAACATTTCCATATTTCTCATAGTTTGCCCAAATTAATCCCTTACCTCTGCTATAGAGTGGTTGATCTGCTGTGATGATTGTAAATGGTTGACCAAGCTTTTCACTTATAGACATAAAATGATTAATTACAGTTGTCACAGTATTGTTTTCATCTGCAGGTGCTTGGAGAATTGGTAACATCCCAGGTGTGGTCAAGGGAGGATCAATTACACATGTTGCTTCATTAAATGCTGCCCAACCAGGGATAATCTTCTCGTCAGCTAACATCTGTGTAAGTATCCATGTAAGATTCTTCAAATCTGATTCATTCTTTTCTTCATTTGTTGCAAACCATTCATCACAACCAAAATCAGTATACTCATCAAACACAGGATTTGGCCTCTCCCCCACAGGCATATATGCATGGTCTAATTTGTGGAATTGTTCCAAGCAGCCAGGAGTCACTGTTCTTGCCCTACCTATTGCCCCTCCAGTGACAGGTCTTTCTCTAACTGGTCCTCTCTGCCAAAGCATCATTTGGGTACAGTGAAAAGTATTTTTCCCATCAATGGTTTCTTCTAGAACATCTATATTATCACATGAGGCAAGAACAACCCTCCCAGTGGTGTATGGTGCAATCTCATAAGGTATATATATACATTATCATTTTCCTCATAGCGATTCAATATATCTGTAGCTATGCTTGTATCAAATCTTCGAATTGTGTCTATACCAATTGTATGCCCAGCAGCATGAAATAGCCTAACAAGTTTTTCAGATCTTGTTGCTTGGTGAAGGGTAAGCCCAAGGCCAACATGTTTAGGGGTCAACTTACTCCCTTTAGAAACTGCATAAATTATATCTTGTGCAATATTGTTGGCTGATTTATGTATCTTAGATTCACATGGCAATTCTTCAAGAACATTTGTACCTCCCAACAAGATTTGAAGAAAAAAGGACAAGCTATCAGGGATTATTCTGTTAACATGATCTTCATTGATCCCACCCCACCCACCATTATGGCCTGGCATTTGTTCTAATTCTCTTCTAATATGTAATGCTGTGTGGACCAAATTCTGTAGTTGGCTACTTTGTACAGGGGAAACTACCACATCTGCTTCATCTGTCTTATCATGAACAATATTAGACAGATGTTCAGCTATGACAATATTAGAACTATGGCTTGGGTAAAGCAATAGGTGACCTGTTGGATTGATTGGTCGAACAAATGAAGCTTTACTCCCTAAAATTTTCTTAATATCATCATAAAATGAAGCTCTCCGAGTGACATATCGTTGTGGAACATTAATACCATCTCTCTCACACATTTCTTCATAAAATACCCATACATTTCCCATGTCATATATATGGCCAGACTCAAGCCCACCAATCAAATCACTACATAACCTATAAAAACAGTGTTGTGACTTTTGTTTCCCATTATCCATACAAGCAAATTCTTTGATCTTGTCGACTTTTCTTTGAAATTGTACCCAACAACTAAGGTGATACTTGCCCTCAGATGCAACCAAATCACTTATGTTTGCAAGTCTAACATACATTATGGAGTCTAACTCTGACAAATTAATTATCTTTGTTGATAATTCCATAGTTGCAACATTCCTAATAGCCTTCCCCCCGCTCTTTTGACAAAACATACACAATGACCAGTCAATGCTGTTTATTGCTTCTTGTGGGGCGTTGCTTTTGTAATTTTAACCCTTTTTTTTTTAGTCTAGCTATTTTCCCTTGATGTGTAAAGTTGCTGTAACAAGTGTGGTGCCATTTAATATCACAGCAATCGCTATTTTTGCTAATAACAGTGAGTACCCTCTCAATTATGGCATCTGATGCTTTGTCATTAAGGTTTCTTCTCTCAATTGCACATTGGACAGCCTTGCTTCTTCCATCATCAGAAGAGATTCTCAACTCACCTGATGTGTTGCTTTGGCAAAATAGACATTTATCAGAGGAATAACTACATTTTTTCTTTTTTGATAGTGAGGCTGTGCTAGGAGATATACTTTCCTCCTTACGTTTTGAACCAGATGGGGTTGTTGAAGCCATTGACAATTGTGTGCCTTAATATTTTTTAATACTGCATTATTATATTTATAACATGTACTATGAACATTAAAAATCCAACACTACATTAAATCAATATTTCTTTGCCCCTCTCAGAATGAAAATATAATTCGAATTGTTTGATGTCCTGTATTAAGACTATTATGTGCTACAGTGATTACATTATTTTAACATGACATGTATGAAAGAGACAAATCAAATAGGGGTAATCATATTTCCAAACAAAGACACCCAAAAAGCTATAAAAATATCAAGTATCCAAGCAATATATGATGAAAACTATTTTAGTTATAACGATAATAAGGAAATAATATGTTAATAAATATATAATACAAACTTTATGTGTCTTCGTCGCCTGTTTTGTTTGATAAAAACCTTGTTTCAATCGATCTTTCGAGCAAAGAATTACCATTTTATTGCGCAAAATATTTCCATATCCTTCGGCATGCGCAGGCTCAGTTTTCTAGTTAAATCAATCCTATTGGTCACAATGAAATATTTTGACCAATCAGAATGATTATCACAAACAAGTTTGTTGCCATGGACACCGGGGATAGAATTTCACGGCTTTTACAAACAGAGCCGCGGCACTGAAATTTGACAAAATAATCACCAAAATTTAAGGTTTTAAAAGCCGAAATAGAGCGGGCAACCTATATAGCTGTGTTTGTGATACTTCAAGCTACATTTTGGTGGTGGTTGCCTGCTTGTAACAAAAAATGCCATCGGATGTGTTTTATAAGCACTTTTTACGCGCGTGGCTGGCCGTCTATTTGAACAAAGAGCATTTGTATCATCAGCATATAAAACAAAAGAAAGGATGTTACTACAATTTTCAATATCATTTATGTATATTAGAAATAAGAGTGGTCCAAGTATTGAACCCTGTGGGACTCCAGTCGTAACATTCATTTCATTTGACCTACGTTGCTTATATTTGACAATTTGGCTTCTTTCCTGTAAATAATTTGTAAACCACTGTAGACATATTCCTCTAATTCCGTAGTGTTCAAGTTTTTTTATTAGAATTTCGTGATTCACTGTGTCAAAGGCTTTAGAAAGATCAAGGAAAATACCCATTGTATATAGACCTTCGTCCATTGCCTTCGAAATCTTATCGGTTAGCTCAAGAATGGCATGTTCAGTTGATTTATTCCTTCTAAAACCAAATTGATGTTCTGAAAGTATTTGGTGTTTCTCAACATAGTTATATAGTCGTTTGTGCATAAGTTTTTCAAGTAATTTAGAAAAGCAAGTTAAACCCGATATAGGTCTATAATTTTCAAAAAGATTATTTTCATTAGCTTTATAAATAGGACTAACTATAGCTAGTTTCAAAAAGTTTGGTATTTTTCCAGTTTGAAACGATAAATTATAAATATATGTTAGAGGCTTGATTATATTTTCACTTATCTTTTTTATCATTTTCGCACTTACTTCATCATGTCCTGCACTTTTATTTTCATTTAAGTTATTAATTTCAATTTGCAATTCATATTCTGTCACAGGTTCAATAAACATACTTTCAACATAATTACCATTAAGGTATAGCTTTCGTATGTTATGTTATCATTTCCTGGAATTTTTTTTTGCTAGTTGAGGGCCTATATTTACGAAATATTCGTTAAATTTGTTAGCAATTTCCTGAGGATTCGTAACATTGTTATTTGAACTCTTTTGTAAAAAAGTATCAGGTAGATTTTTTCTTGTTTTATTTCTGTTAAGAACTTCATCACAGGTTCAATAAACATACTTTCAACATAATTACCATTAAGGTAGCTTTCGTATGTTATGTTATCATTTCCTGGAATTTTTTTTGCTAGTTGAGGGCCTATATTTACGAAATATTCGTTAAATTTGTTAGCAATTTCCTGAGGATTCGTAACATTGTTATTTGAACTCTTTTGTAAAAAAGTATCAGGTAGATTTTTTCTTGTTTTATTTCTGTTAAGAACTTCATCACAGGTTCAATAAACATACTTTCAACATAATTACCATTAAGGTAGCTTTCGTATGTTATGTTATCATTTCCTGGAATTTTTTTTGCTAGTTGAGGGCCTATATTTACGAAATATTCGTTAAATTTGTTAGCAATTTCCTGAGGATTCGTAACATTGTTATTTGAACTCTTTTGTAAAAAAGTATCAGGTAGATTTTTTCTTGTTTTATTTCTGTTAAGAACTTCATCACAGGTTCAATAAACATACTTTCAACATAATTACCATTAAGGTAGCTTTCGTATGTTATGTTATCATTTCCTGGAATTTTTTTTGCTAGTTGAGGG